GCTATCAGTCTTATGAAAGGATGCAACTGTAAGGCATCTCGAAAGCTACCAGCTGGCACATTGCCAAATTTTCTTCTTGGTCCTTCCAAGCAGAAGATTGAATTACATCTACCCTTTAATTAAAGTTATTAAAAAGTTGTGCTGCATGACATTGTTAAAAAAAAAAATAGTTGCAAAAGCCATTTACATCTGACAATAACTTATAGCAGATTTGTTTAGTTCCTCTGCTTCCAAGACATCACTGATGACTGGGATGTTTTGGAAGCAAAATTGTTAGAGATCCCTGGCTCCTCTCCCCCCCAGACCATCAGTCATTTATACCCTCTTCTTACAGCCAATGTCTGGTGGAACCAGAGGGCTCCTGCTTTCCCGTGATGTCCTGTTTCAGACCAGTGGTATCGGCCACCTCCTGCAGATTGTCCTGTTCCATCAGTTTCACGGTCCTGCCTCTTTTCTGTGTCCTGGGCTTCTCACGGAAACTTTGAACAATACTAGCCCACAACCAAAAGTTAGACTGACAGCAGCAGAGCATGCTGAGGAAAACAGCATCTTTAGGGACGCCCAGGATAATACCCAAGAGGCAGGTGTCCAGAAGAAAGCCTACATGGCCAAAAATCTATGTGGAAGGCTCCATGAAAGCAATGTTAACTCTACGGTAGATATTCTGGTGTCCATCCTAAGTTTCATTGCTCCATCCAGATCAAAACGTAGTCTTTCTTTCAGCCATAGAAGGCATGTCAAGATCATACATATGTTTGACAGCTTCAAGTATTTGTGAATCCTGAGTCAGGCCTCCCCCACCAAATGATGTCATTACCATCAAAGAAACTTAAGAGACTTGTGTGTTTTTTCTGTTGTTTGACACTTTAGGACTGAAACTTCTCTTTTCAAATACAAGTGTGAGAGACTTATTTTTAATTAGAAGCTGTGAATTCCACATATTCATCCAACTCTACCATTTGTGGCTTAAGAAAATAAGAAATATCACAAGGCTTGTGACAAAAATCACAGGATCTGGCCACACTCTACTCTGTGATATCCCACAACTACAGGTAGGTGTTGCTCACAGGAGATATTTCTGCAAGGACTTACTGCTGCAGGCACGGGATTCCGTGGGTTCCCGTGCAGAGCACTCAGCACTTCCCAGGCTCAGGCACTCCAGGTTTCCAGCATGGCAAATGCATTCTTTCCTTTGTTTCAAAGAATGAATTTTCATTTAAAAGGAAGTAAGGATCAGATACCCTCCTATAGCAAATAGTATCGCAGCTGGCTTAAAAACCATTCCCTGTTTAGTATTTAGCATAAGATCTTAAAAACTGTCTTTTTCTGCAAGCAGTCAAAGCTTGATGACAGACCCATGCAACAGCCTCAGTAGAGTTGCCTTTTCAGGAAAACAGTTTTAAAATACCAGGTGAGGGAATGCAAATCAGCAATTGCTCTGATAAACGCTGTTGCCCATTTTTAAATCTGTGAAGAATTATCCTGTCGTACTGTAATGTATAGCAATTAAATTATAAGCATCCATGCAGGGAGGGGGCTTTCGTGCTTGTTTATGTAGTTTGTAGCATTTGAACCTGTTTTTTCAGTGCAAGCTATCAGTTCCATAAAATACACAAGGAAATGCAAGTCCTCTGTAGCAGAAATGGGAGCCTGAATCCATTTGAAACCACTGGCTGGCAAACATTTAAGGGTTAACTTAATAAATGTGAGTTTTTAAATGTCTATTTTAGATTCTCGGCTGCTTTCATCTCCTTCCTGCACAGCACTTATTTTCCTTCTGACTATAAATAATGTTTACATGAGCAATAAAGCTAACTCCAGGGGGTGCAGCCGTCATAAACTAAGCACAGTATCAGAGGGAAGCGAGCCACAAATCTTATAAAAACAGTATGGGTGGTGTTTCCTTATCTTGTTGTAACTTTGCTGCCTCTTGTGTTAGACGCCTAAATAAATGATAGCAATCCAATGCTCTGGCACAGAGATGGTAAATTTACCTGCCTTTGCTGTTGCTTCCCATGGCTGTCAATGTCCTTGTCATCTCAAGGTTTTACTTTCCCCCATCAAACGTTACTCAGATTGGCCTCATCGGTAGAACAGGTTAACTGGGCTCCCTGCACACATGGTGTCTTGACCCAGAGATTGCAACCAGTGAATTTATTTCACTTGGTGACTTGCAATCGTATTACCGCATTTTTAAAGTCACATAATAAAATTAAAACGCCAGGGAGCTAAATCATGAAATCCAGCTAACATAATCGCAGAGATGTGGGAGAGGAAGGAAATTCCAAAAACCTGCAGAGGCAGGATCAAGCATAACTGGGCCACCCTTCACACGTGTACCCTACCTGCTTTTTAAAAGGCAGGCATGATATTACTAGTAAAACAGAACAGTTCTCTTCCATGCCTAAAACTCTGATTAATCTTAGGTTGAGATGCACCTTCTTTGCAAATTGGTTGTTTAATCGTCCTACACTCATTCTGGCATTTCTTGAGGTCCTCTACTCTCCCCTTATTAAAGTTAGATTTGCCCTTTCCCATCTTCTAAGATCTCCCTTGTCCCTTCACAGTTTCCTGAAGCTGTATCAATGATGGTTCAAGTATTGCTTAGCTAATTCCTTAGTGCTTTAGGATTAATTTAATCAGGGAATCAAATTTATCTTAATATTTGTGATCTTTTTCTTGCTTTATTCTAGGCTGCAATCCTAGTCCCGTGTTAAAATTCACTGCATTAACCAGTGAACTTTTCAGTGACACCTGACCCAAAGTAGACATGAACTGGTGGTCATCTCTGGGTCCAGTTTTGCTTTTCCCAAGAAATACCTTACCTGTAGTTTTACTCTCTGTTTCTTCCACTGTTTTTTTTCTCTTCTTTCTTTTCCCTTGCTTGCTGGAACTCACATTACCTCTCACGTTTCTGAACAGCTCCACTCCCCTCTGTTTGTGCTGCTGCTCAGTCATCTGCCACATTTCTATTTTTTGAGTTTTTCCGCTCTGATTTTCATGTCCTCAGAGCTCCTGAGGCAGCTGTATCAGATTTTTGCTGTTCTCTGCATCGGGTTTGCCTGGCTTGCCTTTAAAGAGTCCCTGCTAGTGACTGCCAGCTCTCCTGCGCTCCATCTATCAGATTGTTTCTGCACAGATCCTTTGTACTTGTCATTTCGGTATGTCAAAATCTATCTTTTTGAAGTCCACTTTCCTTATTCTGCTGCTCTTCCTCCTTTTCTTAAAAATGTGATGTCACTGATTTTCCCATTCACTCAAATGTCACTTTTGATTTTTAACAAGTTTTTCCCTGCTACAGTCAGGAGCAACTGCCACCCCACTTCCCACCCCCTTCAGAAATAGAGCAGTCACCAAGACATACGTTCAAACTCCTGATGGTTGTACACTTTTCCAGCAGAGAATTAAGACAAATAAAGTCACCCAATATTAAAGATGGTTATTTCCTCAAGTAAACTTCTGCCAGCTCCTCCTCCTAACTGCAGAGTCAGTGCTGAACGCCACCAGCCCCATGCTGCACACTCCTTTGCCCTTCATGCTCCAGCCACAGACACTAATTAACAAGCATTTCACCTCATGCTGAACTTCAGAGACTTTCTTCTCACGTATCCTCCCTGGAACAAGCTATCATTTACTACGACAAGATCCTAGTCCTATCATTTGTCCCACAAGCACTGGTAATTCTTCTTAAGTTGTACCTTTTGTTACATGGAAAGTCTGTAACTTCCTTGCATTTAATTCTAACGTACGTATACAAGCATCTCAGATGTTTGGCTGGTTTTCCCAGCCTTTATTCCTCTCTATGCTCCTTTCACACATTTTGTTTTTATTTTCATCCACCTGCGGATTCTCACCACTGATGCTATTCAAGCCTTCGCTCTCAAACAGGATCCAGGAGGGCTTTCCTCCAGCGGATGGAGCCCAGCCATTCCCAGCTGTCCTACCAGAAAGCCCCACGCCAGCAGTGAGGAAGAGCTGCCGCTGTGACGGCTGGAGTGCATAGCTTTCTGCAGAGATTTCACATGCCCGCATCTCATTTTCCACTTGAAGGCACCCAGCTAGGGCCTCCACCTGGCCCTTCTTAGGGCCTGCCTCATGCCGAGACTTTATAACACATTTTCTCAAAAACCTTCTGACCCCTTTGCATCCTGCCAAACACGGCCAGCGACCCTGCAAGCTGCCTGGCGCGGCTGCAGCCAGGCTGGCGGTGCCTGCAGCCCTTTCTTTAGAGTGCTCTCATGGTGATGCTGCAGCGATCATCTGAGCCACGCTGCTCCAGAAAGGCTGCGCCACCTTCCCCACCCACAAGCCTGCACACCGGCTGCTCTCTCGCACCGTGACACGTATACCAGCTATAGGTGGTCAGTGGTATGCTCCCTCGCGGGGCAACGAGGGCCGTAGTAAGGCAGCCCATCCCTCCATATGCTCTCCCCTCTCAGACAGGCTGGTGGATCTGGAGATGTGCCTCTCCTGCACCTTGTCTCACGTGGTCTCTAAATGCAGAGCGGGTGGCTTAAACAGAAAAGGCCTTCCTGATACAAAACAACGGGGGCTTTTAATTAAAAACAAAATTTTATTGTAGTTCTATCATACTACTGTGTAAAAATATGGGGGATTTTTCATTCTGAAATGCTTACAAAAAGCACTGGTTAAAAGAAGGTTGCGATCTTACGAATGTGTAATTATCACCAGTGAGTTTGTATGAGGCAAATATACAAACTGGCTACCAGTTCTCTCTGGATGTACATAAAAATGATATTATGCTTTTGCCACGGTCACAATACATAGCACACCGTAGAGAACAGCTACGGACCGCCACCCTCAACATTCACTTCTTTACTTGTATCAGACCTTGAAGTGTTTCTGTTAAATAATCATCTTGGAATATAGAAAACTTTCAAATTCATATGAATAATTAACTTTCTATGTTGTCTTTAAGGCACATATTGCTATCCAAATTTCATTTTGGTCCAGAGGAGCAACTGTATTTCAGACAGCAGCTATCCAGGTATCTGACAGCTCGGTTTGTTATAACTATCCTTATGTCCATAGACTTCAACAACATGTATTGAATTGACTGTCTGTACCGCAGTGTTGTGTCCTGGTACAGCTTGTTTCACAGGTGCACTGCTGCTCTTGGTTAACTTAGGCAGATGGTCAGTGTCTTTGCAACACCCAGGAGCTATGATGTCCCGAGTCCACTCCTCCTGGACCCTGTAAGCATGAAGGGAAAAGTTATTTCTGTTTCATTTGCACTGGTCATGATACAGAACTTTCTAATCCATTTTATTTGCACATTGGGCATTTTGCAAACAACTTGTACTGTAACGTAAGGGCTCACTTCTCCTTGCGTTAAAACCAGTTGGCAGCAGTGGGGCAAATAATTGTGTCTCCGTAAAAGCTGATGAAGACCTTGAAAAGACTTGTGAGGTTGGTTTTATTTGAGGTTGGGGCAGATGCTATTTGTTTTCCATCAAACGAGTCCCCAGCTTCAATGTAATGCTACGCTATCTGGAGAACATTATTAAGAACACTTGAATGCTGAGACTGGTGCATAAGGAAAGTCCTTGCTTGGTTAGCAGAGCAGTGCTGGCAGCACAGGAGCCAGTTGTGCTCAGTGGGATTTGAGGTATTATTTGCAGAACTACCAGCAATGTTGATGCAGAGCAGTCGCATCGTGGATTGTGCTAGCCCTTGACTACCTGACCTGGCTACTGCTTGGCCTTCCCAGAAGGGATTGGAAGCTGGGACTCTGTATTTGCCAGCTGTGTGTGCATGCAGCACTGGCGGTCATGGATCCATCCTGCATCTCACCTTTCTGCACCGGGAAAGGAGGGTTTGCCCAGCTGCGGGGTAAGCCAGCACAGGCTACTGACCCAGACAGCAAGTAACCCAGCAGCGGATGGTGTGGGCAGAGCAGCAGCAGCAGCAGCGAGAGCTGGCAGAGTTGCCAAACATGCTCAGTAAACTACACACAACTCATTCGGGAAAATAGGGGAATGGGATCAGCTTGTTCTTGAACTCTGTTGCAAAAGGCATGATGGATGCAGTGGGCTTTAAGCACATGGCTCTGTGAACCAGAAGCAGGTAAGACACAGCTCTTTTGGGTTTGTGCCAAATTCATGTAGTCTGAGTGTGTGGGCTTTTGTAAAACATCAGTTCTTCCACGGCAGCTGTTTGCAGGCAGGGCAGATGCTGAGGTTGCTTGCCCCACATTCACTGCAGGTGAGCCAGCTCACGTGGCTCCTCTAGCTTCCTCCGAAGCCATCAGTATTGGCTACTGAATGCAGCAGCCTGCACACCCACGTCCAGGATAATGTGGCCTTACCCCTTCGTACATGAAAACCTGGTCAGGAAACAGAAGCTACATTCTGCAATTATTGGCTGCAGAAAACCAGCAGAAATGCTCATACATGAAACGTGCATACAGATAGGAACCGCGAGGGAGTAAAAGAAAATAAAACCAAATAACCGAGGTCTTGCTGTTCTGGTACAGAGTAGGTATACTGCAGATACATATTCCCTGCAAAGGAGAATAAATCCTGCTCTTCACTGAAAAGCTGTATTACAAAACTATTTGGGGCATGAGCTACAGTCAGATAGTGTAAAGGCATCTTAAAACACCTCTGCATTTGATGCAAGAAGGCACTGTATCAGCACAGTTGAGAATATACTCATCAAGGAGGTGCTCAGGTGAGGAGAATTTCCCCACCTGTAATCTGGACAACAACAAACTCATCTATTTCTCAAAAAAACAGCCTGGTAACTTTACCCACTTTGTATTGACCTGTACTGTTTTAACTGTGCCTTTTAATCTTGGTGCGTCCACAAGCCCCCAAATACCTTTGTTGGACACCAGGACACCCATCTGAGTACCCCTGCGGCTTGCCATCAGGGAACAGAAGCTACACGGAGTAATGCTGCAGATCTCACTGCTGAAAGAAAACCTTCTGAGATATTTGCTACTGTGCATTTATTTTTTTTTATAGTACGAGGAACTCAGTTCTGTCTTCTTGAGGTGGTAGTCAATAGTTACAAAATAAGAATCAAAAGAGCATGTACAGGGAGAAGAACTGGGATAAAGTTTCGCATGGGGCAGCCACAGCCTTTGCAAATAGCCCTGCCAGGATTACAGTTCAAATCTAGCTATCCTGGTTATTCTGCAATAAATATAGTTTACTGGGCAGAATTCATCCCATTCTGACGTTTTCTCCTATAAAGCTCTGCATTGTGAAACTCGGCAATTACCCACAGTCCACCACCATTCAGAAAGCCAAAGTGGCTAAAACTGTACTTGGAGGACAACTGTACGCCTGGCTAAGTAAAATCTACCTCCCATTTCAGGAACTCTTATGCTTCCATTGTCTGAAGTAAGTCTAGGATGAGGTGACAGTAAGCACCCTCCATTCACGGTAGGGCATGGAACCCTGTGGATGTCAGAGGGACAGCGAAGTCAGTGGAGTTCCACCTAGAAGCCGAGGCTGAGAAGAGCTATTAAGAGGGTTGCAGTGTCGGCAAGGGACAAACGTGCACACCGTGGGCTCTCCTCTGTGTGCACGGTTGTCGGTCAGATGCAGCCTTCCGTTTGCACTTTCATCCTTGGGAGCTCTGTACTTTAGCCCGAACAAGTGTGACTTTTTCTCAAGCGCTTGAACATTCCTTACCTCCAGTTTCCAGCTGAGCTACTTCAAAACATCACAGTAAGAGGATTAGATGACCTTCCTGTACTCTTACCTGGAAATGCAAACCCACCCAAGGATGCTAGGTGCTGAACAGCCTAGCTAGATGCACAATACATTTGACAAGGACAGACTTTATTTGACATTATTCCCAGAGCTCCCATCTGGGAAGAAGAACAGCCACCATAGCATTTGTCAATGGATTTTAGAGGATTCACACGAATTTTGCTTTGTGTGACTCGAGAGCTGTTCCTAGCTGGAGGGGAAAACGCTGTTAATAGGACACTCGAGAAGGGTGAGAACTCAGAGCAGCGGGGCTGCCACAATGCTGCCTGGCACTGGCAATGGCTCTGAAAAGAGATTTTTATACTGGAGGACAGGAGGGGATTTTTTTGTTGCTGTATGTCTGGTGACTTTGTACAAGACCTTGGGGTAATCACGGAAGCATTATGAAAACAATAATAGCAGCTTTATTAAAAGCACATGTTGCTGTGTACACATCCTCCATGCTCGGTGCGATGACAATTAAGATTGAAATTCAGAAATCAGTACAATTTAACAGCCAGCTATCATACCCTTAGTGACAGGGCCCCAAGATGAAACCACAGCTCACTTCCCCTGCCTGATCTTTCTTTGAAACATGCATGTCAAAAGGTACTGGAAGATTTTAGTCTCTGAAAGGTGGTGGTGAGGAACACAGAGCACAGTAATAACAACTAGAGGAAAAAAAAAACCTTCATGAACAGAGAAGCTGAAGGTGGGACAACTCGCAGGGTGGGACAATCTATATAAAAGCTTGACAACAAAATCTGCCTCTCTCCTGTGCCGGGTCTCCTCCCCTCTGGTCCTAAGTGCCACACAATCAAACATTGCATGTGTACGGAAGTGTATTAATTATGTACAATTGCATCAAACGGGTCATTTGCTCTTCGCAGCCATTTCACTGGATGCTTTATGTAGCAAAGTATTAAACACCAGGGTGATGATGAATCCCACCTCTCTTCCCACAGCCCTGGGAGCAGCCCACTGCTGGCTCTCTGCAATTTAAGCCTTGTAGCTGAGCCAGGGGGGGTCACATTCACACCCACACAGACATTCAAGTGCGCTGTGCAAACCATCCTGCACACATACCACAGCGGGGCTGAGCTCTGCATGCCCGAGCTTTCAGGCAAACAAGAGCGATTATCTGACAATGAGGCCGATCATGAAAGAAAATGCACGGATCTTTTGGAGGGAGTGAAGAGTCCAGCTCTCTGGTGAGACTGCTGACCTTCAAAGGCACTCAGATAAATTGGTTTCCCCAGGACCTCTAACAATCTTACACTAACTCACTGTTGTAATGATGTTTTGCCCCCTTAATTCTCTCACCGATGCATCTCCTGGCAGTCAGTCGAGCTGTCCTGGGTTTTTCTTGTCCTACTTACATTTTCCATCGAGCTTTGAGCAGGTTGTCTCTCAACATGGGTATTTCTTCAAGTGTTGTCCCCTTTCGCAGTGGTAAATCTACACCATGCTACCCTGCTAGTAGAAGGGCATCAGATCCTTCAGCTTTTTCATCTCTTCTACTTAGGTGTTCAGAGGGCAAAAGTAGCTGGGAAAATGCCCTCAAGGGGGCAGAGGGCAAGGTAGGAATGGGGCGAAGTGTCCCACCCCATCTTGTTCATACTTCTAGAAGGTCCTTTGGCTTACAGCCATGCTCCTCAGCAAGCCTGGGCAGACATGAACATTTTTTAGAGCAACATGAGTTTCTGATTTGTGCCTTCCTTGCAAGCCCTTACACAAGGTAGTGGGAAACTTCAACCATTATAGCCGCTAAATCAAAGAGAAAAAGAAACACATTTCATTTTACTGTGGTGGCCAAAGCTATGAGCTAATTTCACCAACCTTGCATGTGACTTCTTGCACTGACTGAAAACGTGGAGCTGCCTCTCCTAAGAGCATGCTGGCTTTGGGTTTTTTTGCGAAACCTTTTCATTGGGATATCTTTGTTCTTGGATTGTCCTTATTTGCTTTTAGCCAGGTACACTGGTAAATCACCTTGTAGTCAGAAAGGGCTCCAGTACAAAAATTTCAGGTACTAAAAATATCTTCTGTGGCAGAATATACTAGCCTGTTTCTCTGCAGAAGAGATTTTTTCTCCTTGATAATGTGCTCCAGCTGTAGTGGATATCTGAAAGGAGGACTTTAAACCTATTGAGATACGGGCTTTTCCATTTAACTCACTCGTGCAGTCAGATCAGTTACTTCATAGAGAATGTTTTATAACTTGGCCTAGAGCTGTGTAAAATAATTCACCTCAGAACAGTCCAAATTTGGAATGCACAACTTCTTCCAAATGCTTCCACACCAGGGGAAAAGAATCACCCAATTTCTTTGCTGCTCTTTAGATGTATTTTTGAGCTGGACTAGTTTCTTTCTGGTTGTCGTCTTAGCTGACGGAGGATGAAAAGAAGTAAGTCTACAGCTAAATTCAGTTCTCCCTGGGTGTGGAAAATACCGGACCATCAATTCTCCTTTTGCAAAATAACAGCACAT